GAGCAGCAGGGCTCTAGCATCGCCTTGCACGACACAAGGCAAGATAAGCAAATGTGCCCATTAGTATTATAACTATTAGTATTAAAATTTGTTAATCGCTTTTTGTCTTACCCAAGGCAACAATAAGCAATTTCCAACCAACCTTTTCTTGCTGCGAAGTGCAATTCAGCATTTTCCTCAACCCACCCAGCCCCTACAATAACTTCTGCGGGGGGAGAGGAGAGCCCCTGAGTATCTGTGCATGTGCAGAGTGCTTTGACTTTGCATCTGCATTGATATCTTCAACTGCCATAGAATCATAGAATTGCAAAGTTGTGGTGGATCCTGGGGGTCATCTAGTGAAATCCCCTGCAATGCAGGAATCTCAACTAAAGCATGCTTAAAAATCTCCAATATCCTACCACAGCTCTAAGGTGAAGTGAGAGCGCATTGCTCACCCCGCAGGCAACTGCGGGGAGAGGGTGGTCTTGCACACCCAGCCAAGGTTCTTGTGGAGGAGCAGGGAGGTTATGGCAGGCAGGACTCCATGTTGCCTCAACAGTGGTCAGCATGGCAAGAACCAATGAGTGACGACACGGGGGCTGATCTTTCCCTCCTTCTCCCTTTAACTGGGTTGGTGCCTTGTAGTCAACTGCTAGCACCAACTGGAGAATATATATATATATAAGGCTGGTGCTGATGGAAGTTTCTCACCTGGGATGAGCAGCAGTTCTGAGCTGTGGGTGGGTGTGAATGCTGGGACTGTAGCATGGGAGGAAAGGGCGAAGTCCCTCCCACCCCCTGATGTCCCAATAACCATGTGAGCAAACAGCTGCTACCCATAAACAATTTTCCAAAGGCACGTGGAATGTTAAATGATATCCTTAATGATATCCGCATGCAGCCTTAATGCTACTTCACTCTTAACAGCAACAAAATGTTCATGCCTTTGGGGCCATTCTATATACAAAAATATGCATATTAAAATGTTTTTCTGTACATGCATCTGAGGTCTGCAGTGATGCAAATTTTAAAGGTAAAGGTACCCCTGCCCATACGGGCCAGTCTTGACAGACTCTAGGGTTGTGCGCTCATCTCACCTAAGAGGCCGGGAGCCAGCGCTGTCCGCAGACACTTCCGGCTCACGTGGCCAGCGTGACAAAGCTGCTCTGGCGAACCGGCACCAGAGCAGCACACGGAAACGCCATTTACCTTCCCGCTATAAAGCAGTACCTATTTATCTACTTGCACTTAAGGGTGCTTTCGAACTGCTAGGTGGGCAGGAGCTGGGACCGAACGACGGGAGCTCACCCCGCCGCGGGGATTCAAACCGCCGACCATGCGATCGGCAAGTCCTAGGTGCTGAGGTTTTACCCACAGCGCCACCCGCGTCCCTAAATTTAGAAAGACAAGGTCCCAAATGCTGGCCAGAGTGGCAGTGGCAGCAGATGAGTTAATAAAGAGATGGTTGACATCTTCTCTTGACGACCTTCCAAAGAACTCCCAGATGCAACAGGGAGGCTTCACTTGCCAACCCATAAATGAATTTAAAGCCAAGAAACTTTACTTAAGACCAAGGACATTTCCGGGCCCCACAGCTCTTGGAGCGCAGCTAAGACTCAGGAGGTTAGCAGTTCAAGAGTAGCAGCTGCCATTAAAATATCCAGTGACTTGTCCACTGAGCAGGAAATCACTTCCAGGCATTGCTCACCTGTTCACAGCCTTTATAGGCCAGACACCTGAAGTGGGATCTGCAGGCTGTTTCTGCTGCACTGGAATCCTGGGAGCAGCCTGAGAACTGACAGACTGCATGTGCTTTGCCAGGACCTTCCACCTGCCAGCATAGCAGGGGCAGCAAATTGTGGGCTGTGCACAATGCACCTTGCGGTTGTGATCCAGACACAGAAAGCCTTGCTATCCTGCACTTTGGGGGACCTAGTAGCGCTTTCCATACTTGAAGAAAGAAGGGACTGCACTCGTTGCTAGCCTTAATCAGAGCAGATCTATTGAAACTGCATGCTAATTTCAATAGGTTTACTCTATTTCAGTTCTCATGGTAGTAAAGAAAGGGATGATTTAACAGGAACCCCCAAAGCTGGTCTTAGACGAAAACCAGAAACATCTGGGCTTGAGTTCACACAGTCAAAGCACATAGATTTGTTATTGCCTCACCTCAAAAAGGATACCGTAGAGTTGGAAAAAGTTCAGAAAAGGGCAAACAATCCAAGGGAAGGAATGCTGCAGCATTTGGGAAATTTTAGTTTGGAGAAAAGGCAAGAAAAAGGTGACATGATAGAAGTTTGTAAAGTTAATGTAGGACATGGAGAGATAGGATGAGAGGTTACTGAACCCCTATTGCAGGGGGTTGGACTAGATGACCCTGGGGTCCCTTCCAGCTCTACCTTTCTGATTCTATGAACCCAGGACCTTCTGCATGCAAAGCAGTGGCTCTAACCAGTACACTGTGGTCCTTCCCTTAAAAATAAATTAAGATTCTGGTGCTCACTGTTTTTTATTTTCATAAGATTTATGCACCAATGAAAATAAAAAAGGTAAAGGTAAAGGACCCCTGAGAGTTAAGTCCAGTCGCAGACGACTCTGGGGTTGCGGCGCTCATCTCAGTCCAGTATATCTGGAGGAGTGTCTCCACCCCCATCGTCCAGCCCGGACACTGAGGTCCAGCACCGAGGGCCTTCTGGCAGTTCCCTAGCTGCGAAAAGCCAAGTTACAGGGAACCAGGCAGAGGGCCTGCCCTGTGACACCTGCCCTGTGGAACACCCTCCCACCAGATGTCAAAGAGAAGAACAACTACCAGACTTTTACAAGACATCTGAAGGCAGCCCTGTTCAGGGAAGCTTTTAATGTCTGATGTATTACAGTATTTTAATATTTTTTTGGAAGCCGCCCAGAGTGGCTGGGGTATAAATAATATATTATTATTATTATTATTATTATTATTATTATTATTATTATTATTATTATTATCATCTCGCTTTACAGGCCGAGGGAGCAGACGTTTGCCCACAGACACTTTTTTCTGGGTCATGTGGCCAGCATGACCAAGCCGCTTCTGGCGCAACTGAACACCGAAACCAGAGCAGTTCACAGAAAGCAGATTACCTTCCTGCCAGAGCGGTACCTATTTATCTACTTGCACTTTTTGGCATGCTTTCGAACTGCTAGGTGGGCAGGAGCTGGGATAAGAGCCACGGGAGCTCACCCTGTTGCGGGGATTCGAACCGCCGACCTTCTGATTGGCAAGCCCAAGAGGCTCAGTGGTTTAGACCACAGTGCCACCCGCGTCCTGTACCAATGAAAATAGGGACATCCTTAGGGAAAGCTGGACATTCCAGGATCAAATCAGAAACTGCCATCAGCCCCAGCAAAGATGGCCATGGATCATGAGAGCTGAAGTCTCATAAGTGCCCATCAGGCAGGCAGCTAGGAAAGAGACCAAGCTCAGGGCATTGTGGGAATCCAGAACAGTGTCTGTGCTGCCACCAGCCATGGTGGGCCCCTTAGGGTGGCCCTGTCTGCCAGCCTTCTCCTCTTCCTTAGGCTCAGCACTGACCCTGGTGAGGCTCAGGAGGGAGCAGAATGGGGCAAAACTAGAATTTGCTCGCTCGATCACCCACTGCCTCTTTTGTCTGCCCCCACTGGCCTGCAATGGGCATTGGTCACCAGGTCAGCTTGTTGTTGCAGTGGGCAGCTGAGCACTAGCACAGGGGAAGGGGTGAGTGAATCTGTGAATCCTGATCCGTCTTCCTGCTGCCCTAAGTTCAGTTCTGCACACTTCCATGCATAACTGAAGACTCAAATGGTTAAATCGTAGAGTGTTCTTGAAGGGAAACTGCTGGGTGGGAAGAGAACAAGGCCATATGTTGCGTGATAGAAAGGGAGTGAGCAAGCTTTGTCACAGATAAAGAAGCATTTTGGAGACCGCAGGAGTTCCTGCTGCAGAAGCTTCAAAGAGAACTGCAGGTGTAGCACTTCTGCCTCGCTGATGGTGTAGAATAAGGTAGCAGCCAAGGGGACTAATTGCGCCGGACGAAAGGTGTAAACTGCTCATTGGTTAGCGCCGCTGAAATGATGCTTTACGACGGTGTTGAACTCAGGTAGGGACACCTTGACAAGCCCCCCTTCACGCCGGCCGCAACCCTGGGAGAGATTTTTGCAGAGAGGATTTCGTACAGGATCATCTTTGCTGTCGCTCTGCTTCCTTTGAGCTGCGACTCCAGAGCGCAGCCTCGCTAGAGACCTGGAGGGTCTTGGAAAGCAGCACAAGCCAGATGTTAAGGGGGAGGGGAACTGCCCATCCTCGCCTTCAAGGGGGTGGGGAAAGGGGAGGAGGGTGGAAGGGAGACAAATCAAAAGCTTCTCCGACCCAAACCATGACAGCGGCGGAGTGGGGGGGGGGAGCCCTCCATCATCTGTGGCTAAGACGAGCCGGGTCTTGGCAAGGTTCTCCCAGAGCTCTATTAATAACCTCCTGCAACCGCCCTGGGAGCACAGAAGGCAGATGGGCCTGGCCGCCTCTTTGCTACAGCAGCCTTTGTGGCCCAGCCAAGGCAAAACAAAGGCCTTTCCGTCTCTCCCCGCTGCCCCCGTGTGGGGAAAGGGCCTCACAGCTGAGCAGGCGTTCTGCGTGTAGGTGGTCCTGGGTTCATCTCCAGGGAGGGCGGGGTGAGACACACACACACACACCCACACACCGCCGCCTGGAATACTGGGCGGCAGCTGCTGGTCAGTGCAGACAATACTAAGCTAGACAGACTCATTGTCTGACTACACGAAGGCAGCTTCCTATGCTCAGTTTCTTCTACAAGCCCCCTCCCTCTCTCCCCACCAGCAATAAAACACTGTGGGGCGTCCCAGTTAGTGGATAATGTAACCACAGCAGTTTTCTTCCTCTTGGGGGAAAAGGTCTAATCAAGCTCTTTCTCTGAACAGAACAAGTCCCTCCCCTCCCATGACCTGCGCTTAACAAAACTGGTGGAATAAGCACATCTCTCTCAAGGGCATGAAGTAGAAAGCAGTTTATAGGTGAAGACAGTAAAGTGCTCAGTGTGAGCTCTGCTCTTCCCCCTACCAGAGAACCTAAAACCCCAACACTTATAGCAAAGACCCTCCCCATACAATCGGACCCTCGAAAGCCCCCCTCTTGATTCCATGCTTTGCATCTCCTGAGAGGGGCATGTGGTTGCCCTGAGCTTAATTCCTGTACATTAAAACGCTTAGAGGAGCCTCCGCTTAGACTTAACGCTGCTCAACAAAATTACCATTTGCAGTATATAAATTAATTACACTATACAAGCAATGACCGTTTAAATAACCTCACACTTAACAAAGAATGCTCCCTCCGTGTGTGTGTGTGTGTGTGTGTGTGTGTTCAAAACCCAAACCCAATTCCATGCCAACAGCCACCGTGAATCTTCAATGCATAAACTGTGTCCAGGCCAGAGGGCTGTCTGTTGTTCGTGGGGCTCGAGGGCCTGAATCCATTGGGCACCATCCAGGCAACTACTGCAAGGTACAGGCTGCAGAAGAGAAAACACAAAGAGGCTGACTTAGCATCCAAATAAATTCACATCTCTGTTTGAAAACGAAAATCCCTAATTTCAAATCCGACGCAGCAATCTCAGGGGACTCTCCTTTAGCTCAAGGGCCACACTCCCTTCTGGGCAACCTTTCAGAGGCCGCCTGTCAGTGGTGGGCGGAGCCAGGGGGAAAGGAGACCCAGCAGTTAATGCACGTTTCCCCAGAGAAGGAAGGGGCTCTGAGTTCAGGGGCACATTCTAGCTAGGTGCAAAGCAGGGCCAGGGAGGCTGTGGTTTGGGAGAGTCCCTGAGGGCCAGACGGGGAGGCTTGGAGGGCCACATCCAACTCCTGGGCCTGAGGCTCCCCGCTGTTGCTCAAGAAGTGGGCAGTAAAATTTGAGGCAAAATTTTAACTATTATTTTATAATCATTAGTTTAATAAGTGATAAATCGTTATTTCAAGAACAGCTCTGCACGTGGAAAGCTGCTCTGCTCAGGGCCAAATGGATCTCCCTGACATACTTGCTTTCCTGCAAGGTTTTTTCTCCTCCTCCATCCTTTATTCCCTCCTTGAAACACAGCACATCTGGCGGAGCCTGGCTGCAACTCACAGAAGGTGGGAACACGTGAGGGAGGAATGGGTACGGAACGGAGTGTCATGCACAAGGGCATGGCTGACTCTCACCATAAGCACTTGACACAACAATATTTTGAAGCAGGCTTCCCTTGTAAGTCTGTATTAGCTACCTACCACCACCACCCCGGCCAAGAAAGCAATGGGACTGCAAGCCTTGCTTAGTGCAAAGGTAAAGGGACCCCTGAACATTAGGTCAAGTCATGGCCGACTCTGGGGTTGCGGCGCTCATCTAGCTCTATAGGCCGAGGGAGCCGGCGTACAGCTTCCGGGTCATGTGGCCAGCATGACTAAGCCGCTTCCGGCGAACCAGAACAGTGCACGGAAATGCCGTTTACCTTCCTGCCAGAGTGGTACCTATTTATCTACTTGCACTTTGATGTGTTTCGAACTGCTAGGTTGGCAGGAGCAGGGACCGAGCAAGGGGAGCTCACCCCGTTGCAGGGATTCGAACCGCTGACCTTCTGATTGGCAAGTCCTAGGCTCTGTGGTTTAACCCACAGCACCACCCGTGTCCCCCTTCTCAGTGTTGACCCACTGAAATCAATGGTCCTAAGTTAACCCTCCTCATTAACTTCGGTGAGTCCACTCTGAGTAGGACTGGCACTGAATACTTCCCATGGTGACCAAACTAAAAACAAATAGACAGGGAAGGCTGCTGTAGAGGAAGAGGAAAGTAGCAATGGCAGGTGTGGAAGGGACACCAAGAGTCATTTAGTCCAATCCCCTGCGATGCAGATGCAAATGTCTTTATGTGATTAACTGTTGCAGAGAAGTTGAGCCAGAGAAGTCAGCCTGGGGTGTTTTTGTGAAACTGACACGCAGCCACTTGGCGAGGGGACACAACGAAGCCCAGGAAGCCCATTCACAAGCTCAGGCCGGGACTCTGGCCAGATGAAGGTCCTGCCACCGGCCGGGACCCCCCTCTACCTCATTTGACTTCTCCCAGGCTCAGGAGCTTACGGCAAGCAAAGATGAAGGATTAAAACGATAAACCGTCCCCATCATCATCATCATAAACCGCGCCCTCTGAGCCTCTGGGGAGATTTCCGTGTCAAACGTGAGCCTGAGTGTTTCTGCCCCCACCCCCAAACTAAAATGCATTTTGCTTTGATAAAAATAATAAAAAAGCAAATCTCCACTACTGCTGCTTGCCCAGCATGGTGGCTGCTCCTGGGGAAAGCATTTCCCCTCTACTCCTCCCCCCACTTCAAAGGATTGTCTCTCTGGGTCCTTCTGGACACCTGCCTGCCCCCCACCCCCCACTGCCCTGGGCAAAACAGAGTGAGGACTCCCCCCCCCCATTCCATAAGCATGCAAATGCCTGTGTGGACAGACATGGCCCCTGCTCCCAGGCTTTATGGTTTCCAGGCCATTTGGCAGGGAAAAGAAAGGGTCTCTTTGCCCCTTCCTCCCCTGGGGAAGACCAATCCTCCTGAGGCCCAGCTCCCGGAAAGAAAGTGTGGGGGGAGAGGACCAACAGGGCAGTTAATTCCAATTAACCAGCCAAGCTCAAAAGGGGAGGGGCGACTTGCAGACCCCTCCCAAACTGGAAGGAGATGGACACAAAGATCTCCTTCCTCCCTGGGAAGGAGGAACTATGTGGCCACCTCCCCCCCCCACCAGAAACCTCACAGACAGCCCTGATGTGTCTGATCCCCCCCCCATGAGGATTTTGTTCCACTCCACTTAGCACAGCAGAGCACTGAAATGGGGGCTCTGCCATTCCTAAAGTTTTTGTCTATATAGTAACACACGTACACCTCCCCCCCCCCTACTCTCCCTCTCCACACACACAGCACCCCTGCAATGGAGCAATTAGTCCTGCTTACTGGGGGGGGGAAGGGCAACCCTCGCTTTCATCTTATGAAGTCTGCAGACTCAACCCTCAACTGAGACGTTAAGCAAAATAAAAGTATCGTTTGCACACCTGCACGAGGCGCTTGACCCCATTCCCTTCCACTCAAAAGAGCACACGTGCGCATGTGCAAGCTGTTCACCCCAGAAGACCTGCAGCAGGGATGGGGAAACTTGGTTTTTAGAAACCAGCCTGCAGATTCGCTTGGGAGGGCAGGTGTAGGTGGTCGCAAGCACCAGGTGGCAGGCAGGGCCAGAACCCGGAAGTGGGGAGACTGGGCTGGCCTGCAGGATTGCAGCTCTGTGTCTCTCAGGGCTCACCTGCTCAGCGGAGGCCATTTGGGCGAAGGGCACACTGCCTCGCCACTCTCGGTCAGCCCACACCTGCCTCTCTTCTTACTTTCCAACTAGCCCAGGTACGTGGCCAGGCCGGTCAGCCTCCTCCTTAGTCTCAGTGGCCTGCTGTCCAGGCTGTTTCACTTGTGATGCTACAACTACAATGCTACAACTCTATGAGTGCTGCCCCTTGTAGACTCAAGGCTAGAATTAGCCAGCTCCGCCTCTCATGATCTCTGGCTGCCTCCCTGTCTTTTGCCCAGAAAGTCCCAGCGGGCGCCAGGCCTGCTCAGTCCAGCATTCGCCCCGATTTGCTTGCAACAAATCTCCCAGAGAGGCGAGAGGATGCCTGGCCTTTACTGAGCCTTCGTTCTGGCTTGCTTTCGGGAACAGCTATAGGAAAATGAAAATTTGTCCTCCATTAAAGAATGCAAGAAGAGACCTGCAGCTGGATCTGGCCCATTTCCTGTCACTGAGCCCAGCATCCTGCTCTCACAGGGGTCAGCCAGATGCGTGTAGGAAGCCCACGAGCAGGATCTGAGCACAAGGGCAACTTTCCTCTCCTGCAGTTTCCAACAATTAGGATTCAGAAGCGTTTCCTGCCTCTGGGCGTGGAGGTAAAAGGTAGCCAGCAGGAGGCAGAACAAAGCCGCCAGGGTTTGTAGCCAGGGATGGTCACTTTCTGTTTTTAAAGTATAAACATCTGCTGCAAAATGCTTTGGGAGGCAAGAATTTTATGATAACTCTGAGGAAGAGCTCAGTCAGTAAAGCATGAGACTTCTAAACCCAGGGTCAGGGATTTGAGCCCCATGTTGAGTGAAAGATTCGTGCACTGCAAGGGGTTGGACTAGATGACCCTTGTGCTCCCTTCCAACTCTACCATTCTAGGATTCTATGAAATGCAGTAAGGTATTGTTTAGCTGAGACTCCTGCACTGCAGGGGTTGGACTAGATGCCCCCTGGGGGACCCACAGTTCTATGAGTCTACGAATAAAGAATGCCAACAGCACCCAGCCAAGACTTGGTAAGGAAGAGAACAGGCACTCACAGCTTCTCACAGAGTCCAGCATCCCCTCCTTGCCAATGGCTTCCGCTTCCCACTGCGACTCCTTCATCTGGAGGAAAAGGAGAAGGAAGAGAGGGAGGCGGGTTGTCTCCTCTGGTCTCCATGAGGGCGCAAGAGGAGCCTGGCTGGATCAGAGCAAGGGCCCATCTAAGACCAGGATCATGTTTCTATCCGGGCCTCTGAGATGTCCATGAGGAGAACAGGAAGGCAACAGCTATCCCCTCTGGAGTACCCCCCCCCCCACACAGGGCAACTAACATTGAGGGGTAGGCTGTTTCTGCATATGGAAGCTCCACTTAGACAGCAGGGCTAGAATAAGAATCCTGCTGGGTGAGACCCCAAAGTCCATGGGGGCCACTATTCTGCCCCATGCAGCAGCCGGCCCAATGAGCCAGGAAGCCGGCAAGATTTTATTTATTTAAAGTATTTCAAAAGGACCTGCATATACTTGAAGAAGAGTTTGGATTTGATATCCTGCTTTATCACTACCCGAAGGAGTCTCAAAGCAGCTAACAATCTCCTTTCCCTTCCTCCCCACAACAAACACTCTGTGAGGTGAGTGGGGCTGAGAGACTTCAGAGAAGTGGGACTGGCCCAAGGTCACCCAGCAGCTGCAGGTGGAGGAGCGGAGACGCGAACCCAGTTCCCCAGATTACGAGACTTCCGCTCTTAACCACTACACCACGCTGGCTCTCTGAAGAAGGATGTGAAGGCAACAGTGCTTTCCTGCTCCCAATCCCTGCCTCCTTCCTCCTTCCAGAGCTGTCAGCCAATGGCCTGCTGCCTCTGAACACGCAAAGGAATGGGCTCCGGAACTGGATCTCCAGAAGGGGACAGGTAGGGCGCAGGTGGCCCTCTGGGGACACCCAACTCCCACCAGCTAACAAGGCGAATGTCAGGGGTTGTGGGAGTCTGGCGTTGCCTGGAGGGCCCCACAACCCCCCTCCCCCTGTGCCAGGCCAAGAGGGGGAGTCCAAGGAGACCCTTCTTCCAAAGGCAGTGAGCTTCTCTGGGAAGCGAGCCCAGGGACCAAGCACATGCCAGGCAGGAACGAAGGCCCAAAGGCCACCTCGCTCCCACAGCACGGATTCTGCAAAGGATGCTTTACTTGCAGAGGGTTGGGCCTGGGGGGCAGGGGGGGGGGCTTCCAACTCTATGGCACTTAAGAGCCTACAATGACACAGCCAATCTTCAGAAAACATTATCTTTGCTTTGAGGCTGGGTTTGTGTTGTTTTTTTTAACCAATTAAGCAGTGTATAAATCTTATGAAATAATAAACCACCCAAATCTATTTTTCCATGCCCTGCCCCATCCAAGCCTCCTCTGCCAGCCCCGTGATGCCCAGGCGTGCCCTCACTGCAGCCCCCACAGAATGCAAAGTGCCCTCCTGTACCTTGATCTGCTCTTTCAGGTATTCCGCTCGGCCCATCAGTGTCTGGATCTGCAAACCGTCATTCACTCGGTCAGATTAGGAGGAAAGAAGAAGAAGGAGCCACAGTTCAAAGGTCATGCAGGATGGCAAACCACATGGGAACCCTCCTGCACGGCACCTCGAATCCCACGGAAGAAAAGGTGGGGCACCGTACATATAACAATTCCCTCTATTTCCAATGTCCACGCTGTGAGTGCCAATCATTTACGTAGCCAAATTGGCACTAATTGCAAGGAGCTGTGGCAGCAGGCTTCCCCAAGGCTTGCAGAAGTACAAAAGTGGGGCAAAATTGCCCTGATGGTGGGGAACCCCAAAAAAGCTCAACAGGAGGCTCAGAAGTGACAGATTGCTGACTGAAGTTTGCAGGGGGTAGAATGCAGCGGCTAGAATCTTGGACTGGGAGTGTCCCACGCTGCAACATTATGCTGCAGGTCCACAACAGCTGAGCCGCGTCCATTCTGCCGCCTGCGCCCTTTAGTGCCCCCTGCTGGGCACCCTGGCTCCCCAAATGCATCCTGCAGGGCTCCCCCCCCCCACTTCTAAATAACAGCAGCAGCAAAGGGACCAAGCACAGCTGCAGGTGGATACAGACCTCTGCATGCAGCAACTCCCGTCTCCTTCCCGCTGGCTCAGCTGGAGGCAGGAAGGAAAGAAAACCATATAATATGATTTATACTGTAACTGTGACGTTTAGCATGTTTTTGCTCATGGTGTTTTATGGATTGTAGTTGCTTTGCTGATGATTTGTTAAGTCTTTAATACGACTTACGGTTGTACATGGTAAGCTACTCTGGGATCTGACTGAATGGAAAGTGGCAGAGAAGTGCAATCAATCAATCAATCAATCCTGGAAGGTGCGGTTAGACAGGAGACCTTACACAGCCCTCTCTGGCTTAGGCCCAGGCTCTCTGAAGGACTGTCTTCTCCCACATGTAGCCTCACCCAGAGATCTCACGCAGAGGCCCTTCTCTCGTTGTCGTCCCCCGGCACGCTTGGTGGGGACGTGGGAAAGGGCCTTCTCGGTGGTCCCTGCTCCCAGACAACGTTGGAACTCCCTCCCTAGAGGAGCCGGACTGGCTCCCTCCTTGATGTCCTCCCGCCAGCAGGTGAACATAGTTTTATTCCTGCAGGCTTTGGGGAACGGAATCCTTATTTAAAGGAAAGGGCTTTTACTAGAGCAGGGTTCTTTTTGCTACCTGTATTAAAGGTAAAGGGACCCCTGACCATTAGGTCCAGTCGTGGCCGACTCTGGGGTTGCGGCGCTCATCTTGCTTTATTGGCCGAGGGAGCCAGCGTACAGCTTCCGGGTCATGCGGCCAGCATGACTAAGCCGCTTCTGGCGAACCAGAGCAGCACATGGAAACGCCGTTTACCTTCCCGCCAGAGCGGTACCTATTTATCTACTTGCACTTGGACGTGCTTTCGAACTGCTAGGTGGGCAGGAGCAGGGACTGAGCAACGGGAGCTCACCTTGTTGCGGGGATTCGAACTGCCGACCTTCTGATCGGCAAGCCCTGGTTTAACCCACAGCGCCACCCGCATCCCTTGCCAACTGAATTACACCCCCCATTAAGCCCCCTCCCACCGCAAGCTGCCCCCCTTACCAGCTAACATGAGCAGCAGCTCCCCCAAGCTCTGCTGGTAGAGATCAAGGGTTTCGCCGTCATCTTTGCCCTCCTCCTCCTGGAAGAGGAACACAGAGCAGCTCCGTCAGGCCTCAGTGCTCAAAAAGGAGCAAACAGCCGCCTTCCCCCTAACGAACGTAATGCAAAAACTGGATCAGGCCAGTGGGGGCCCATCTATTCCAGCACCCTGCTCTTGCCATGGTCAGCCAGATGTCTGTGGGAAATGCGCAAGCAGGAATCATGCGCAAGAGCAGCCCTCTCCCCTCCTGTGGGTTCCAGCCACTGAGACTCATAAGCATCGCTGCCTCTGACCGTGGAGGCAGCAGCCATCAATAGCCCTCTCCTCCATGCCGTCCCTCCCCAGGGACAGGTACACTCCCTTGCCTCCAGGGACGGGGGAGGCAATGCAATGTTAGACTCCAGTTTTCATTTCAGGACAGAGGTTGGGGGTCAATGACAAATCAGCAACTCTCTGCTCCCCTCTGGTGACTGACCTTAGCAACAGCGGCCGACGCCACCTCCAGAGCAGCGTAGAGGCGAGGCTTATCCCTGGACATCTCTGCAGAAAAAATAAATTAAATTATAAGGGGTGTGACCCAGCATATGCAAGGCCAATCAGTATCCAGATGCGACAAAGCAAGGTGGTAGAGTCCTGTGAGGATGGAGCGGGCTGTACCACTTTGGGCTGCAAGCAGAGGAGAGGGCAGCACTTTCGAAACTTCTGCAAGTCACAACAGCCCCTCAAACACAGCTGCCTGCAAGTAAAAAACCTAACAGGAAGAGGTTCCAGTCCGGGTGCCTGTTCACTGGTGTGGTCCTGGTTTGCTATACTACTTCATATTTCAAAGAAAATCTCTAAGTAGTTGGCAACACGGTTAAGCCACAGGTTGCCTCAACTTGCCCATCTGTAAAATGAGACCAGCAGCTGTGTGTCCTACAGGAAGGATGAGACCAGGGTTGGAAGTGCCTGCAAGTGAGAGTGCAACAAGAGGAGGTAAGCAAACAACGCAATGAGCACATGCAGTTAAGAGACTGGAAAGGGGAAGGCTTCTTAGGTAAATATGCTGGTTTTCCTTGGAAAGGAAATTCCCGATGGCCATAGCATAGGTGGGGCTCTGCTACTACAGCATATTTGTAAAGACAAAAGGCATTCACAGACTGACTTTGGACAGCATTCCCTAGTGTCGCAGGAACCCCCCCCCATCATTCAGTTTGTACAAACTTCACACACACTCACACTCACACACTACATACGCTATGCTTCTGTTATAAATTCATAGAAAATCAACCATACATCGGATTTCCACTGTTCCACTTTTTTACTCCATGAAGGAAGGACTACAAAATGGGGAAGGTTTGATACAGGGCAGCCATAATCTCTTGAGCATACCAGCACATCCACAGGAGCCCTGCCCAGTTGCTATGCCAACCCTGATGGTCCTAGACAGAAGACCATCAAGATCACAAAGAACTTGCATATGGGAGTGGATTCAGCACAGACTGGAACAAAGGACAATAATCAGCTCTTCCCTCTGGGGTTAGGAAACTGCAAACTCCCCTCTGTCGCCTGGAAAGTACTCATGGGGAGGGGGAAAGGGGGAACCAGCCAGGTGACAGGACACTCAGGTCACCACCACAACTCATCCCTCAACCCCTCCTTTCTGTGATGTATGTATGATGTTTCTGGGGGTGGTCTTGATCTACAGGGTGGCAATTTCAAAAGTCTTTAAAAGGCCTTGCACGCCATTTTTCTGGGTCTTTCCTCTCTCCTGCAAGTGAGGGGAGCACCCTGTTGCAACAGTTCAATAAAGGCCAAGCCTACAGGCTGCTGTTTTGCTCCAAGTTATCCTGGTTGGTGTCTTTGATTTTGTCCAAGGGAGCCCTCGGATTTTCCCGTTAACACTAGTAGCCCATAAAACTTTCAGAGAAGAGAGCACAGGAATGGGAGAAGTACGCCCTCCCCAACTCCCATCAGCCCCGCCAGCATGAACAATGATCAGGGATGATGGGAGTTGGAGTCTAGTAACATATCTGGAAGCCTCTTCCTTCCCTTAACCCCAATCCCTGACTGAATGGAAGCCCAGCTACCTACTGCTGAATTTACTACTTATTTCCGCTTAACCTCGCCTCCATCTCGCTCCCCACAACTTTGGTTCTCTTCCCCATGCCAAATTTTAAACTGCAAGCTCCACGGGGGGGAAGGGACTTTGCTCTTCTACTTTTTACATGTGATGCACACGTGGGGCATTATCGTCACATGTAGCAGGTGAGGGAACCTTTGGCCTTCCAGATATTGTTGAGCTACAACTCTATAATCATCCCTGGCCGTTGGCTTGCCTGGCTGCAGCTGACGGGAGTTGCAGCTCAGCAACATTTGCAGGGTCAAATATTCCCTGCACCTGATATCTACCGATAGCGACCTCAATTTTTTCACTGCCAGTTCTCATCAGCTGAAACAACAGCAGCTGTGCCAAGGAGGGGGAACCGGCAGGCTGGTGCGAATCCTCAGATTCCTGCAGGAGTATATAAAATAAACCTTTGGGAAAAGGAAACCCCATTAACAGCCCAGCAGGAACCGAATACGTTCAGTGGACACAAAATATTGACTTGGGGTGGAGGAGAGAAAACTTGGCTGCAGGAAGAACAGACTGGAGTACAAGGCTGAGGATCGGGAACAGGAACACTCTGCAGCGCAACATTTTAAGCTGACCACAGCTATGATCTCCAGGATTAGCATGACTTGCATTGAGCTATCAGCCTTTTTTTTATTTTTGACGTAATTTTTATTTCCTAACGAAAAAAGAAATTACAAACTCAATCAACATCCATATTCATTTTCAACATACATGCCAAGACGAACGCCTCGCAGAGGTGCTAGACAAGGTTTTCGTTTGGAGCGCTTCGCAAAACGATTTTATGGCCCTACAACGAAACATAGGAAATTCCGACAGCGGGAAGGCAGCGATCTCCCACTGTCTTGACCTCCTCCACCGCCCCTCGTTCTCCGCTTCCCGGACGGCTTTTAAGGCAGGCGGGGGGGGGGGAGCAAGACTTGCCCCCCGGCCTTCAGAAAGTCAGACCTCTTCTGAAGGCCGGCGGGGGCAAAAGTCTTGCTCCCCCTGCCTGCCTTCCCGGGCTTTAAGTCGCCCAGACAGCGAGAGTCCTCCGCTCCCGGGTCGTTTTAAATGCTGGCGGGCGGCAGCGGAGGCTTCGCGCGCCCGCCAGCATTTTAAGATCGCCCCGGCAGCGAGAATCTCCGCTGTCCGTTTTAAAATGCTGGGGTGGGAAAAAGCCTGTCCCCCCCCCACCTCAGAAGAGGCGGGGATCAGATGTCCGGATGTCAAGTGGTTCCATAGAACGATTGATTGATTTTCAATGCATTCCTTGAAACCGTGCTTCGCAGACGAAAACTCGCAGAGAAAAAACTGTGGAACGAATTAATTCATCTTAAACCTATTACATAATTAACTAAATTAAAATATAGCTAATTACTCTAAACTTCTCTTTGCTGTAAACAAATACAACGCAGTTAGAAATTTATATTAAAGCTTTTATATTATAAATTTCAAATTCCCCTATACCCCCCGTTCCCCTTCACCCATGTGTGATCTCTTTTTTTCTTCTTCTTCCGTCTTGCCGTGTTGTTATAATTTAATCATTGTTCAGCTGGTTCTTTTATTATTTCCTTGCTTACCCCTGCACGTTTTACACATTATCTATTAATATTCCAGTTCCGGAACCATATTTTTCATATATTCCTGAAGTGAAGGAGCTATTGGGCCTTTTGGTTTGACTCCTATTTCCTAACAAAAACATGTTGCAAAGTGCAGAGTGCTCTTGTGCCCCACTTGGCCCTCTGCTCTGGAAATTACCTTTCAAGATGTCCCTGGCAGGGCAGCCCTGCTGAAGGAGGGCCTTGTTGCTGGAAGCAACCAGTGCTTTGAGCTGCTCCGCTCGGGAAATGTATTCGCTCACCTAAGCACAAGGAAACAACACGACACCGTCACGAAATTTCATTCTCAGAGGTGCAAGAGAAAAGCAGGCATTGGCAGGGCCTTCTTGTTTGTGGCACCAGCCCTGCGGCTCCCAGCCACAAAGGTTATCTTCTACCTTCACTGCCCAAGGCAGCCTGCTCCTGGGGGCCAGTTGCTGGGAGCCACAAGTAGGGAGAGGTGCTGCTGGGCTCAGTGTGATGGCCTGAGAATCGGATTCAGAGGCTGAACCTGAGGAATCCCAGCCTGCACAGGAGTCCCTGCCTCCAGGACCAGCTGAGCCGGAGCTGGGGCCTGAACCTGAAGGGCCCTCACCTGTGCCGGATCCTCAGGAGCAGACACCAGCTGAATCTGCTCTGGCTCCGGAGGTGATGGAGGACCCACTGCCTGCAGGTGCTCCACTCTCAGCCCCGTCAGGGGAAGGTGAGGTTGCCTCTAGGTCCAGTAACCCTCCAGCCTCTCCTGAGCTGCAGAGGCTCAGGGCAGAGAGGCGGAGGGAACTAAGTTCTTGCAGGAGGAATACTCGCCTCCAGGCCAGGAGAGGCGAGTCACCTGTGGACCGGGACTGCCCTATGCCTGGGGGCAGATAAAAGCCAGCCAGCCCAGTCCCAGGGTGCGGGAGCACCATTGTTGGTAACCTGTTCCTGCCTGCACCCTGTCCTGCTCTTCTGCCAGAGTTCCTGACCACACCTGACTCCTTGCCTTGGACCCTGCTTCAGCCTTGACGGACAGCCTCCATACCGCACCCTCGACCTTGGACTGGACTCGGACCATGCCGCACGGTATCCCCCTGGGACCAGCACACTCAGGTTCCAGCTTGGGGGCTTCTGGCAGGCCACCACAAGAAGAGGATGCTGCACTAGATGGGCCACTGGCCGGATCCAGCATAAGGGCTCTGCTTACGTTCTGGTGGTGTGACATCTCAGGAAGGCCTGCAAGCCTGGGCCTTGACATGGATTCCAAGGCATCAGACTAAATTCCAGCTCTTCTGAGCAGCCCTTGGGCTAAGTCGGTCAAAATGAGAACAAATCTCTACCTGTCATGGGCTCCGCCTACCGTTGACCGCCCAGCCTTCTGCCCAATGAGCACCAGCCGCCACTGCTCTGCTCCCTCATTGGCTGAACCCTATGACCTCATGCACCCACCCAATATTTACAGTTCAGCCCAAGGGTGCCCCAATTCACAGCTTTCCCACTGGCTGAAAAGGAGGACCGTCAACTGACCTTGGATCGGATCGCCTCCTTCCTGCGGACATCGACTTCGTCTGAGGGTGGCAAGACAGAGGCAGGTTAGGGAGAAAGGGAAAGTCCATGGAGTGAGCGAACAAAATGGGAAACTGTCCCAGTACAACTCCCTGTCTTCCACCGTCAGCTCCGAGCTGCATCAGGGAGACGGACGGACATCAACCAGCCTCCGTGTCTGGAGGGGGTTGGAGTAGGCAGAGCAAGCAGAAGCCCCCACCGCCGCCGCCTCCTGCTCAGAGCAGAGTCCCTCCTCCCAGACTCAGAGATGGAAAGACTCCCCCATGTTTCAGAGGCCTTGCAAAGATCCTGGGCAGGGGAATTGTAGGAGTATACATGTCCAGAGTGTGGGGATCACATGGGATCACTATGAGGAATTATAAAATATGCACCAAGCCATTGTGTCCGCCATGAAAGCATGGCGTTGACTGGGTTTCAATTCATTGACAATAATTTCTGATCAAATCCCACAACCCTCTGCATCTCTGGCCATTTCTCTACTGTCCATTTCTCTCTGCTTGACAAATCACATACACAGCCCAGTCGCCAGTTACTTCATCGGGCATCCTGAGCCATAAAAGATAGTAGGCAGTTTCTTTGATGCAACTATTGTTAGTTTTGTTAATCTTAGGGCCAGGAAGAGAGTTCACAAGGAGATGGTAAATACTGTTTGCTCCTGTTTATGACCTTCCTGAAAGCATTCCTCTTCGCTTCCTATTTTATTTACTCTGGGCTACTATGCATGCTCAAGTTTGGTTCTTATGAACACTGTGTAAAAAGTTCTTTTGTGAATAAAACGACCTGGGCAGGAGGGTGGGCAGGAATTCTTATTATACGCACTCCTCCCAGAGCCTTGCTGGTTCAAGCCTCTGTGTGCATTTTCATTATCAGAGTCTAATCCTTCCTTTGCTTTGGGAACGCCTCAACACTCTGGACATGTGCTCTCCTACAGGGAATTCCTGGAGACAGCCCACTTCTGGCTAGCCAGCCGGGTCAGCCCCTTGCCCTTGGGCATGTGCCCATCTCCCCTGCGATCCACAAAGCCCTTGCACTGTGGGGCAGCTGCCTTCAGTCTCACCAGGTGATGGACCCACTGCCAATTGAGCCACGATCCCCTGTCATGGGTCCTGCCCCATGGAAATGGTCAAGGATGGGGCATAAGACCACACCTGTCTTCCTCCTTCTTCCCCTTTGAAATAATTTCATTTTAGGTCCTAACGGGATTAAGACGGATGGAGGTCTCTGATGCTGTGGGCAAGAACATGCCCCTCTTAGAAGTGGACTTTGGGACAGGCAACACACGCAGCTCCGGATATGAAAACAGATATGCTGTTCTCATTTAATTTATTTCATAAAATGTATATACAGTGGTACCTCGGGTTACATACGCTTCAGGTTACAAACTCCACTAACCCAGAAATATTACCTCGGGTTAAGAACTTTGCTTCAGGATGAGAACAGAAATCGTGCTCCGGCAGCGCGGCAGCAGCAGGAGGCCCGATTACATTAAAGTGGTGCTTCAGGTTAAGAACAGTTTCAGGTTAAGAACGGACCTCCGGAACGAATTAAGTATGTAATCAGAGGTACCACTGTACCGCTTGATTGTAAAAAACAAAACAAAACAAAAAAACTCAAAGGAGTTTACAAAAAAGGTGATAAAATGACCAATAAGAACATTTAACAACAATAATTCAAAACTTTCAAAAAATTAAAATCAACAATAAACTAAACCCAGATTTACTTGCACCACCTTTCTAAGCATCCGGTCAGCCTTGTCTAAACAAGAATGTTTCTAGCAGGTGCCGAAAAGAGTAGACTGAAGGCAGTGAGTTCCAAAGTGTAGGAGTTGCCACCATAAAAAGATCAATTTATTACAAATACGGAATGGGAATTTTGTGGCCCCCATAACAAAGCTGCTTCTGCCAATCTAAGCAGCCGAGCGGCAATTGTGGGGCAAGGCAGTTTCGCAAAGAGGGGAACAATAAAAGCCTCTGGGCCACTCACAGCGCAAGGCGGGGACGAAGTACTCCAGGGCCCTGCTGTAGAGGGAGAGGGCGGCAGCAGCGTCGCCTTCCTGGTCCTTCTTTATCGCTTCCGTCACGAGAGACGACTGCAAAGGGAAGAGATACAGGATGGAGAAAAGCGGGAGAGGAGGAATGGAAGAGGGGAATTGGTTCAATGACCAAGCGCAGGCTCAGCTTGGGCCAAGCAGAGGGTGGACAACCTTAGGCCTGGGGGCCACATGTGGCCCTCCAAGCCTCTCCATCAGGCTCTCAGGGCCCTCTCCAGGCCACCCCACGTCCTGGTCCTGCCCCACACTCTCCCCATGCCTCTGCTTGGCTGGAAAGCGTCCTTGGACTTGGAGCTGACGCCTCTTACTTGCCTGGAGAGAGAGGTGTGTAAAATAACAGGCGAATTCAGGTGTGAGCCAAAGCCGAGGGTCCCACCTGCTGCCTACTGCCAGCATGCGGCCCCTGGAAAGCTGCCCAGAAGGCAATGTGGCCCTCGGGCCCCCTTCCTCTGTGTTAAGTGTCTGGAGGAGGGAATTGTACAGCTGCGTCCTTCTGTGTTCAGGAACTCTTGCCTCTGAGAATCAGCATCCTCAGCAAGATCTTGCCCCCAAAGAGAGACAGGGAGCAGTGTTTGGGCTGATGGGGAAATGGACCCATTTCTATGCCCACATTCAGAAGACGGTTCCCCTCTATGTCGCCAGATGGCTGCCCTCATGCCTACAGAGGAGAGGGCAGCCCCCCACCTCACCAGCTCCAGGGCCCAGCTGGTAACCCAGACCCACATCCTGCAAATCCCCCCGCCCGCAGGCTCTCTCTAGCCCTCTTACCGCTTTGCCCAGGCTCTCCAAGCCGGGCATGTGCTCCATGTCCACGAAGGGGTGGGCAAAGAACTCCTGGAAAGAGAGGCGCTGCTGGGGGTCCCTCTTCAGCAGGCACTGGAGGAGGTCCCGGCACTCCAGCGAGAGGCGGGGGCGGCTGGGGAGCTGTGGGGGGGCAGGGCAGAAGGCTGAGACACAGGTAGAGAAGCTCCCAACCTCACCTCACCTCTGGGCACTGGCAGCGCTGAGCTGGAAACGGGACAGGGGAAGCAATCCCTTCCTGGGCGCAGAAGTGCCACGCAAAGGATTGTGGGTCCACTGGCACACGGTGGTACTTTCATAGCCGCGAGGCTCTCGAGAGAATAACATGTATTTTCAAAAGGAGAAAAGGAAGGTGCTTGCCCCAAGGAGCTTACAGTCTAATCCAGGCAGTGGGCAGTGGGATTCCCTAGGGGGACCCTGGAGGTGCAAGTGACTGTCAGATTTGTTGAATTAAACTAAACTGTTTTACCGTATTTTTCGCCCTATAGGACGCACTTTTCCCCCTCCAAAAATGAAGGGGAAATCTGGGTGCGTCCTATGGGGCGAATGCAGGCTTTCGCTGAAGCTTGGAGAGCGAGAGGGGTCGGTGCGCACCGACCCCTCTCGCTCTCCAGGCTTCAGGAAGACATCCGCAGCCTAGGCAGCCCTGTGGGAGGTCCCGCAGGGCTGTCTAGGCTGCGGATAGCAGCCTGCCGCCCAGCGCGGGGAGCGCCCTCAAGCAGAGCGCCCCGCCCACCGGACAGACATCCGCAGCGTGGGGAGCCCTGCAGGAGTTCCCCGCAGGGCTCACCATGCTGCGGATAGCAGCCTGCCACCCGGCAGACATCGGCCAGCCCCACAAGCTCGGGGGATAGCAGGGAGGCGCAGCGCCGCCATCCCGCTGTTCCTCGACCTGGTTCGGTTCCCCCGACCTGCTTTTGGGGGAGAAATAAAGGAAAAAATGTTTTCCTTTATTTCCCCCCAAAAAACTAGGTGCGTCCTATGGGACGGAGCGTCCTATGGAACGAAAAATACGGTAATTGGATTTTAGATATATGTGCAATTAATGATCGCTGTTTTGAATTTTCTTGTATTATTGCGTTCCTTAGTGGGTCATGCAAACGGCTCTTCTGAATTCTGCTTTTTATAGGGTCGGGGGCACTGGGGGTGAGTCTGTGGAACCAAGGGGGGGAGGGAGTGGTCCCAAAAGTCTGAGGACCAATTAGGGGCAGGGGGAGGCAGAACCTCCCCCCACTCTGCCTGACAGCAGCCCCCCTCTTGCCACTGCCCTGTGTCTGGATTGAGCCAGGCCAAGCCACTGAATGACGTTTTTGAGATGATCAGACCAAGTTACATTAATCTCTGCCTGCAAACTGAACCCTACAGGTGTGTCAGGTTGGACCAATCTTGGCAGGACGTTGGAAGAACTGCGATGGGAATCTTCAAATAGCTGGTGGTGGTGGAGTTGGGGTCAGGATGGCAGGGCAGGGAAAGGAACCACCTCCTTTCAGTCCCTCCCCAGGACTGCACAAATGCCAACACCCCCAGGAGCCACGAGGTTACCTCGATGGGTTGGTTGCTGCGGATCTTCTCCTCCAGCTCAGTAAACGACTTGGAGGCAAAAGGTGGCCGGCCAAACACAGCCTCTGAGAAGGGAAATAAGCCCCCATCCCCAAATAAGACAGGGAGCCACATGTGTGTCGCGTGCTAGGCTGAATTACCACCACCCAGCAGCCCCAATGCTCAGCAATGCTCAACTGTCACAAGAACCCAAGACAGCCTCTGATGGAGGAGAAGGGAAAAGGCCATTGTGGTGAGTAGCCTTGGATACCAGAGTCAGCTTTACAGTTATTGACACCAGCATCCACAAAATTGGAAGCGTTTGGGGCCAGTGAAGGCAGGATGGGGCATAGCCAGAAACTGGGCAGGAAGGCGGATGTAGGATTAAAAGGTAAAGGTACCACTGCCCGTACGGGCCAGTCTTGCCAGACTCTAGGGTTGTGCGCTCATCTCACTCAAGAGGCCGGGAGCCAGCGCTGTCCGCAGACACTTCCGGGTCACGTGGCCAGCGTGACAAGCTGCATCTGGCGAGCCAGCACAGCACACGGAACGCCATTTACCTTCCCGCTAGTAAGCGGTCCCTATTTATCTACTTGCACCCGGGGGTGCTTTCGAACTGCTAGGTTGGCAGGCGCTGGGACCGAACGACGGGAGCGCACCCCGCCGCGGGGATTCGAACCGCCGACCTTTCGATCGGCAAGCCCTGGGCGCTGAGGCTTTTACCCACAGCGCCACCCGCGTCCCTGGATGTAGGATTAGGCAAGAGCAAATGCAGGCAGAACTAGACGCTTGCTTCTCTCCCTTTTAAAAATGAGCTAAGTTTCTAGCCCTCAATGCTGGCAAAGGGGGAATAAAGAACCCTGATACAGGCAGGGCTTTGTATACTCTGGACTTCAAAAGAACAATCAAAATTCCAGCCCATCGGAGATCACAGCTACACGCAGCACTTTCTGCCATTTTATTCCCATTACACCTTATCCAGAACATAAGAATATGCAATGTGTGGGTTTTTTAGAATAGGTATTTCAATCTCCGTTGGAGGTTTTAAAGCAGAGGTCAGATGGCCACCTGTCAGGGGTTCTATGATTCCTGCACTACAGGGGGTTGGGCTAGATGACCCTTGGGGTCCCTTCCAGCTCCATAATTCTGTGTTTCTATTATTCAGTCCTCCCAATTCATTTTGCGCAGCCTCTTAGCTCCAGCATGGAGCTTAGCCAGCGCCTGGGATGTCAAGACGGAGCCCCAACCTCCCCTCAAAACTGAAGGGTGAACTTACCGTAGAGAATCACCCCCACGGACCACAAATCCACGCGGGCGTCATATTGCCGGTTGCACACCATCTCAGGGGCCATGTAGAGTGGAGAGCCCCTCAGCACGTGCTTCTCATCTCTTGGGGACATGTGCTGCGCAAATCCGAAATCTGGCGGGGGGGGGGCAGGGGGAAGGTGACCCAGAAAAACTGTCATTGGGCATGACATTGTAACCTTGCATTTATCAACTGACCTGGTATCCATAGGCAACCAGAAATCCCACACTGGGGATTGAGCAGGCTGGTGAAAGAAAGTAGATCCCCCTAGAATATTCTGCTGGCTGCAGAGTGAGGAAAGCTAGCCCTACTCAGGCCCATTGTAAAGGTAAAGCTAAAGGGACCCCTGACCATTAGGTCCAGTCGTGGACGACTCTGGGGTTGCGGCGCTCATCTCGCTTTACTGGCCGAGGGAGCCGGCGTACAGCTTCCGGGTCATGTGGCCAGCATGACTAAGCCGCTTCTGGCGAACCAGAGCAGTGCACGGAAACGCCGTTTACCTTCCCGCCGGAGCGGTACCTATTGATCTACTTGCACTTTGATGTGCTTTCGAACTGCTAGGCTGGCAGGAGCAGGGACCGAGCAACAAGAGCTCACCCCGTCGCGGGGATTCGAACCGCCGACCTTCTGATTGGCAAGTCCTAGGCTCAGTGGTTTAGACCACAGCGCCACCCATGTCCCATTGTACGTTACAGTTATCAGTGACTGTATTGCTATAGCTTTCTACTTTGTTGCATTTGGTATTTTTTATTTTTTATCATTACAGTGGTACCTCGGGTTACATACGCTTCAGGTTACAGACTCCGTTAACCCAGAAATAGTACCTCAGGTTAAGAACTTTGCTTCAGGACGAGAACAGAAATTGCGCTGCGGCAGCGCAGCAGGCCCCTTTAGCTAAAGTGGTACCTCAGGTTAAGAACAGTTTCAGGTTAAGAATGGACCTCCAGAACGAATTAAGTTCTTAACCCGAGGTACCACTGTATCTATTATGATTTATCCTAACTATTTCTATACATTAAAAATATCTCCAAAAGGTGTACAGAAATAGCTAAAGCGGGCACAGGGAACCTCTGACCCTCTGTGTGGCTATAATACTAGCCATTGGGATTGACTGGTTGAAATAAAAGATTGGCACATGAAGGAGAACAATAATGTGTGGGGAGAGGAGCACCTGAGCCTGCTGGCCTGAAAGCCCAAAAGAAGCCCCCCTGAGCCTGGGGGGCAAGCCCTGCCCCACACCAACCTGCCAGCTTGAGGTGAGGCTTATCCAAGGAGCTCAGCAGGATGTTCTGGGCTTCAGATCCAAGTGCGAAATATTCTTGTCATGGAGGAACTTTAAGGCACAGGCTGTTGGGACAAACAGGAAAGAGCAGTGGTGTTGCAGGTGGCAGGGGACTGTCAAGGCATCCCTCTCCAGCCAGCAGTCTCCTTCCCAAAAAAAACCAGACTCCTCTGCCTCCAAGATTTCCTTTCCTTTCTCTGGCACAGAGATAGGGGAGAAAATGCAACTCCCTCCTTCCACACATCTCGAGCCAAGATGTAAAGGAAAACACAGCGATCCTTTGAAAATCCACACTTCTCTGCATTTTGCAACATGGTTCTCCAACCAAATAAAGTTTGCAGGCACAGTTTGAGCCACACCCACAAATGGATGTTTTCTCTTTGGAAATGGTTTTGCCGTTCTGCAGATGAAATAGCTCTGTTTGTGAGCACAGTTTGAATCCAAACCCCATGGCTGAGATTTTTTAAAGTGGAGATGCCAGGAATTAACCCTGGGACTTCCTGCGCATAAACAGTACGCTCTACCTATGAGCTCCATCCCCAAATTATTTTCCTTTCCCCTCCAACTCCTTACCCAATTGCTGTAGGAAAATGCGAGCCACCTTTTCCGGCAGGATCCTCCGTGCATGGATAAAGCGAGACAGGTCACCCCCAGCACAAAATTCCATGATCAGGTAGATGTAGTCCTTGTTCCACTAAAAGGCAGGCATGCGCTATCAGGCTTCTAGAAAGACAAACCCTGCCCTATCTCCACCAAGTTCATTCCTCTGTCTGCAAGTTCCTAGTCCTTATGAATGCAAACACAAATGTGGAAGCAGCTGGGTGATGCCATTAAGTGCAATCCTATGCACAGCAACCTGGGAATATGCCCTATTGAAAACTCAGGAATTTACTTTTGAGTAAGCATGAATAGAATTGCACTGTCAATCTCAAGAGTCAGCAAAGTGGGTGCCTCAAACCAGTATTAACACATAAGGTAAAGGTAAAGGTACCCCTGCCCATACGGGCCAGTCTTGACAGACTCTGGGGTTGTGCGCCCATCTCACTTAAGAGGCCGGGGGCCAGCGCTGTCCGGAGACACTTCCGGGTCATGTGGCCAGCGTGACAAAGCCGCATCTGGTGAGCCAGTGCAGCACACGGAACGCCGTTTACCTTCCCACTAGTAAGCGGTCCCTATTTATCTACTTGCACCCGGAGGTGCTTTCAAACTGCTAGGTTGGCAGGTGCTGGGACCGAGCAACGGGAGCACACCCCACCGCGGGGATTCGAACCGCCGACCTTTCGATTGGCAAGCCCTAGGCGCTGAGGCTTTTACCCACAGTGCCACCCGCGTCCCCTAGTAAATGGCTTTAATTGTTCAGAGCATCTATCACCTTTGCTACATGTCTTGTCTACTGCAATCCTCAGGAAGGAGACGACACAAAGCAAGGATTCTTGTGGCTCATGGAACTCCCCCACCAGGAGACATTCACCAGGAGTCACATGCAAACAAAGGGCAGAGGCATTTTTATTTTCCAGGTGTGAGGATCATAATTGGAATTGACTTTTGGAGGTGGTATTAAAGGTAATAACTTTTGCTAAGTTAGCTTCACCGGGGCGGCTTTGCACTCTGCATTTGAAGCAATATCCTACCACTTTAAACAGTCGTGGTTTCCCTCTCCCACCCCTCCTGCAATCCTGGGAACTGTAGTTTAAGGGGCGCTAAGTGTTGTTAAAAAGGTAAAGGTACCCCTGACCGTTAGGTCCAGTCGTGGACGACTCTGGAGTTGCACGCTCATCTTGCTTTACTGGCCAAGGGAGCTGGCATTTGTCCGCAGACAGCTTCCAGGTCATGTGGCCAGCATGACTAAGCCGCTTGTGGCGAACCAGAGCAGCGCACGGAAACGCCGTTTACCTTCCTGCCGGAGTGGTACCTATTTATCTACTTGCACTTTGACGTGCTTTCAAACTGCTAGGTGGGCAGGAGCAGGGACCGAGCAACGGGAGCTCACCCCATCGCGGGGATTCGAACTGCCGACCTTCTGATTGGCAAGCCCTAGGCTCAGTGGTTTAGACCACATCACCACCTGCACCCCATTGTTAGGAGACCCCTATTCCTCTCTTGGAGCTACAATTCCCAGAGGTCGGTTGTTAAACCAAGATAAGGACTGCCTTCTGTTTCAGCCTTTAAGCACCTGCTGAAATCTTTGCTATTCTGCCAGGCTCATGCATGAAATTTAGAATACATCTTTCCATAATAGTTAGTTGACAGTCTCCGATTTCATATTTTTAATGTGTTTTTTTTAAATAGTGAGATTATTGTAAACTGCTTTGGTATTGTTTTCTGTATGATATAGTGGTACATAAATCTCAGCAACATCCAGAGTGCCAAAGGTTGCCCACCTTATTGGATGAGTCACACATCTGACACCCCAGCCCAGCCCGGTCTCCCCTCCCCACCTGAAAGTCCTTCAGCTCGACAATGTGCGGATGGCGGATGGTCTTGAGGATCTCGATTTCTGTCAAGAGGTTCTCCACAGACGCCTTATTCAAGCTCTTCTTGCTGACGCACTTGATGGCCACGACCTCCCGGACGTCCTTCTAGCCAGGAAAAGAACACGCGACACCACACAAACGAACGTCAGCAACACAAGCACCTTCAGTCCTGACGGTGGAAACCTCAGGGAAGGTCTTGCGAGGTCCAGGGAAGTTGCTATGGAGATGGGCAGATCAGGAGAGGGAATGTCTTTTCCACATCAGGGGCCACCTTCCCTTCTGAAGAGGCTTCTGGAGGCCACAGGCCACTGATGGGCAAGGCCAGAGGCCAAAGCGGGCAGAGCAACCAACACAGGTTTGTGTGACAGGGCAGTTTCTACATTCCCTTGATCTTCACCCTCCACCCAAGGGAGCAAGAGGTACAAGGACGCTCTCTCCAGGCGGGTGAAAACATTTAAGGAGGGGCTACGGAGGGTCACTGGGGGCTGGAGGAAGCCCTTAAGCCTGAAGGGCCATATCTGAGTGCTGAGAGCGCGACAGGCTGGAGAAGAGGAGAATATCTTGGGGCAGAAATTGGGATATCAACTGAGATCAGGACAGGATCACAACAAATAGTGAAAAAACTGCTGAGAGATGATTGCCCCTTCCCCTCAAAGCTGATCTGATGACTCAGACTCCATCCCTGGATCCAAAAACCAGTGTTGCAAGCAAGGAACCTCCAGGGTGGCCCCAACGCCCCAAAAATTAAGGCTCGGGTGAAGGATGCACTCACAAGAATCCACCTTTTGCTGAGGGTGGGGCTGAAGGGGTTTTATGCTCTACCAGTCAAGTTACACCTGGGACCCAAACCATGCAGGGCAGCGATGGGGGACGCTTCGGCCCTCCTGCTGCTGTTGGACTCCAACTCCCATCAGCCCCAGCAAGCACGGCCAAGGGCCAGGGACGCTGGGAGCCGAAGTTCAGCAACATCCTGAGCGCCAGAGGTTCTCCCGACCCCTGACTCCGGGTGTCTCCTTTTAATATCAACCCCCCTGCGTCCTGCCTCCGACAGCGGACAGCCAAACTGCTTCCGGGAAAGTCCTCTCCCTGCCGCGGCTGCTTCCAGGTAGGCTGCTCCCGGGCGTGGAGGCTCCGCGCCGCGGCCTCTGGGTCAGGCGGGGGGGGGGACTCCCTGCACCTCGTGCATTTGCGCCCCCCAACCCCGGAGATCGCGCCCGCCCCCGCCCCCAAGCCAGGCCCTTCCCCTCCCTACCTTCCTGTAGGCTTTGAAGACAGTGGCGTAGGTGCCGCTGCCCAGCCTCTCGGTCAGGATGAAGTCCTCCAGCTGCGGCGGCGCCCAGCCGGCCATCCCGGCGACCCCCCCATGCGGCCCCCGGAGGCTGGCGAGCGGAACCCGGCCCTCTCTGGGACCCCGCGGGGGCGCCTGGCTTCCCGGAACGGCGGCGCGGGAGGCGGAGCAGCGCCGGCAGAAGCGCACCTTCGGACGCCCCCTCGCGGCAACCCGCGGGAGAAGCGAGACGGGGCGGCGCTCGTGGGAACTCCGCCTCCGCTGTCGCGCGTCTGCAAAGCGGGGCGGGGAAGAGGAGAAGCGAGCCCTGGATCGCTCCCCCGATTCGCATCTGGTCGACGGAGGATAGAAGCATCAGCAGAAGCCGAGCAGCTCTGGCCCGAATAAGCCTCGCTGCGAAATGCTGAACTCCCCTTTTGGAAAGCGCGCCCCTTTAGCTAAAAAAATGGAAGAGGACTGGACGCAAGCTCAGCCCTGCGAATGATGGCAAGAAAGTCCGTCGCCCTCGATCTCGACGCGGCTTCAGGCTCCCGTCTTCTGCTGTGATCGGTTGTCTTTGGTACTAAACTTTTAATTTTGAGAGTGGCTCTTGATCCGTGTTTTTTAGCATGTCCCTGTGGGTAACTGTATTCCACACGTTTTTAAATAAAATAAATGTTGAAAAGTGCTGGGCTTCTAGAAGTTGTCGGAAGGACGAGCAGAAAGGTGGGTTTGCTACAGTTGCTGCAATAAAATTGCATTGGCCAAAACCTGCTTCATCCTTTGAAATTCCCAAGGATTAACAGGGCATTAGCTTTGCACGTGCATTCCCAGGCAACTTACAATAATCACAAAACAAAAATTTGATTTGGAAAGCAATACCTTTTTAATGCTGAAAGCAAGGAAGACTTAATGCAGCACCACCAACCCCCAACCCCCCTTTGGGGACTCCCATCTCTCTGCAAAAGGCTCAATTGCGTAACTAACTTGTGTTGCATTAAATACAGTAAATACTTCGTTAAAAATAAAAAAATCCTCTTCTATCTATTGCGTTGTTTGGGCCACATCCAGTCCCTGGACCATCTACCCACTGCTGGCTGGCAGGAGCTTCAGGAAAAAGCTGCTGGGACTGAGCTATGGCCATTCCCTGTATTCTCACTTGCTCTCAGGGTGCCCAGCTGCTGCTGAGTAATGCATGAAACTGCTGGTCAGCTGAAGTGTTTGACCCGGGTCCTCTCCCTACCCCTGACCAGTGTGCCAGGCTGATGGGAACTGTGGTCTCTTCCAGATGTTGAAAGGCTCCTTGGCTAGACCTGCATTAAACATAACTTGAGGTCCTTGGTGCATCTAGCCCCGTATTGTTTAATCTGACAAGTGTCAGCCCCTACAGCAGACATGTGCAACCTGTGGCCCTTGGCCCTAAAAGAGAGAAAGCAATAAAATGGGGTTGGCTGGGGTCCAACATCTGGATACTCACTGGCTGCCGACCCTTTGGCTTAAATGGCAGACACATGGCTCTTCAAAAGCAGTCTGATTCACAAGCATGTACTAACAGTCTTGACATTTTTATTTTTGTATCTGAGCACAAAAAGTTTCGACATAGACATTTTTACATGAAAAAGATCAGAGAGCTGGAAAATACACCCAGGAAGGGAAGACATTTTAAAAATCTCATTTCTGCCATCATTACTTTTACTCAAAACGGGGAGGTGGGGAGGGAAAGAGAAAAAGACAGACATCAGCAGATACTTTTCTGGGATGTGATGGGCTACGTTAACCCTTCAGGAGAGAGGTTTGGAAACAATCAAAGGAACTATTTTGGAAAAGACACTGAGATCGTGAAAACAAGCAAAAGCAAAGAAAAACCGTCAGCAAGACTTCCAGTGTCTTACTCCTCTGAAGATTCCCTTGTGCTTCCACTGAAAGCAGCCTGCAGGCAGCTCAGCTCACGGAGCTCCATATTTCAGATCAGCTAAGCCAAAGTGTTAAGAGAAATAGCCATGAGTGACAGATCTTTTAGTGACTTAAGAGCACTATTCCTGGTCATCTACATTTCCCCAAGACAAAGCACACCTCTTGGAGACAAGAGTCAAAGCAAGCAAGCAAGCATGCAGTTTAGGTGGTGGTAGGCGTGGCTGGTTCTTGCTTCTACACCTCTTTGTTCACACAGGCTAAAATAGTGCTTCCAGTTACACACCCAGCGTACCTCAAGGCATTTCTGAAGCCCAAGTTCAGCTCCTGGGTCTCACACGTGCTCCTTTCTCTGCCCCTGATCAAGTTACTGCCTCCCCCCTCGCAATCCTGCCCCTTTCAGTCCATGGGAGTTGCGAGGTTCACAGTTTGCACCACCCATTCAAACAGACTCCAAGGCATAACCTGCAGTTCCAATTCACTCCTGAGTGAAGCTTAAGGGAATGAGTATTCTTCACAGCTTGTGCTCAAGGAGACAAGCAAACAAAAACTAGGGATTCCCTTAGTGTGTGTGTGTGTGTGTGTGTGTGTGTGAGAGAGAGAGAGAGAGAGAGAGAGAGAGAGAGAGAGAGAGAGAGAGAGAGAGAAGAGTATCAGGATAATGGGGTTCTTCCCCTGGGGTAGAAAAACATGGAAGTATGGTGAAAATAGCCATTCATTTGCTATACCAAAATCACTGCCAATGAAGGATCTTTGCATGGATCACAACTAGGAGCCATGTCACACATCCAGCCAGGCAATGGTTATGTTAAGTCCCCCCTTAGGCAAACAGGCTCTTCAGCTAATCTTGCCCTTTCTCTTGACAACTCTTGTTTGCCTCCTGGAGTTCCTCATTCCCTGGAGTGCTGGCTGGAGAAGAGGAGAACACCTTGGGGCAGAAGTTGGGATATCAACTGAGATCAGGACAGGATCACAACAAATAGTGAAAAAACTGCTGAGAGATGATTACCCCTTCCCCTCAAAGCTGATCTGATGACTCAGACTCCATCCCTGGATCCAAAAACCAGTGTTGCAAGCAAGGAACCTCCAGGGTGGCCATGGAGTGGGTGAAGAGTCCCCGACACCCAAAAAATTAAGGCTAGGGTGAAGGATGTGCCCACAAGAATCCACAGGAAGCCACCTTTTGCTGAAGGTGGGGCTGAAGGGATTTTATGCTCTACCAGTCAAGTTACATTTAACGAGGCAGCAGGGCAGAATTAACCAAGAAGGCAGGTCATTTCTCCACTTGCACTCCCTTGGATCACAGAGTAGACGCATACACCAAAACTTGCCCCGAACATCCCTTACCATGGCGGTGAAAGATCAGCAACTAATTAAAACCCAAAAGCAAGAAGTGGAGCGACTTCTGATAGCACCCCAAGGGCTGATGTTAGGAAGGAAAAAGTCCGTTCCTCATAGCGGCGTTTAGTGGAAGAGAAATTAAAAAGTGCAAATCTGGCTTCCCCCAAACCCCTGCAACAGAAGGAAGGAGTGAAGGAAATGTACACACCCAGGTCTAAATGGGGAAATATATTTGATTTATGAGACTGGGGGTGGGGAAGAGAACACCATACACTGCCCTGGCCCTTCCCACCGAAGAGACACAGATGCAGGCAGGACAAAGCTCAAGATACGCCTCTTCCAGCAAGTATCTTGGTGCCAAGACTGGTACCCATGGAGAGAGCCTCCTGAACTGTGGAAGACCAGGGAGTGGTCAGAGCAAGTGTGGAAGAGAGCAAGACGCTGGCCCTGTCTGGGGGACTTCAGTTCCCCCGGAAAGCGCTCTGGGCAGCAGTTGAGGCGGCCCCGGCAGCAGCATTCTGGACGGTCCGGTTGGTGAGGATGCCTTGCGAGAACTCCTCCTGGGCCCTCTGGAAGCTGGCGCCCGTCCGGCGATACTGAGAGTGGACCTGAGGAGCAGAAGAGACAAGGCGTCAGCAGGGCCACTTCCCTGCTTCTGCAGCCGGTGTGCAGCACTACTTGCCGCACCTCCCACCTGCCACCCAGAGACCAAAGGCCAGGAGCAGTCCATGGACATCTTGTTACCTATTTGGAACACCAAAGGGGCAGTACAAGTGTGTGTGTGTGTGTGTGTGTGTACACACACACAAAAGGCAGGTGAAGGATCATGTCTGAATCAAATCAAAAAGCAAAGCAGCACAACACATGTAAGAAACTAGCATTCAGTGAGGTGACCAGGTGAGAAAATGATCTACTTCTCAGGATGCTAGTTTAACTTACGCAGGCCACTGTTTTCCTTGGGAAAACATTTGAATATGCCACCCCCAATTTGAGGTGGGACTCTCCCAAGAGAGCTTACACTAAACTTGGGGGGGGGTTTATACCCCCCTTTCCTCAAAATAGCTCACAGCATACAGGGTCACCCCCAGCCCTTTATACTTAGAACCACCCATAGGGTAGGCTGGGGAGGCCCAAGGTCCTTTAGTCAGCTTTGTGAATGAGCAGGGATTTAAATCTGGGTTTCCTGATCCAACACCCAAATCACACCTCACAGCGGCTCTTCTGCGTCAGATGTGTTTCCAGAATGTTTCGAACTGACTCTCTTGCAGGGTGTCACACAACATTTACATGGAAGGTATTCTAGGTTGCGGGTCTCCAAGCCTGAATTAAATAGATGCCTTGGCAGAGCAACTGTTTTAGGGCAGGGACAGGGAACCTGTGGTCCTCCAAATCCCACCAGCCCCAGCCAGCATGGCCCATGGTCAGGGATGTGGCAGCTGTGGTCCAGCAATATCAGTGTTGAGTGCAGCACATTTTCCTCGCCACAGGGTTTCAGGCAGCACTCCTCCTGGTGACACTGAAGGGGGTGAACTGACAGCCCTACAGTTCCCACCCCCCAACCACTGGTTATGCTGGCTAGGGCTGATGAGGGTTGGAATCTAACAACATCTGGAGAGCGTCAGGGTCAGGGAAGGCTTAGTTGTCCAATAGTCACTCTCTCCCATAGCATATATTTTGAAACATCTGCACAGGCCACCAATTTGTCTTCAGACCAAGTTCAAGGTGTTGATGCAATCTCTGAGGTTCTAAATAGCAATTCTCAAGTGTCAGGTTACAATATGTTACTGATACACTGCGGAAGCTGCTGATCAGCCCATCAGCAGTAGGCACTGAAGACACTGAGGAGAGACAGGATGCATGAGCGAGGACAAAACTCCTGCTCCTGGTTCCCTTCTGTAAAGCAGCATGGCAAGGGCTGCAGCCCTGGACTCAGCGAGCAGCATTTCCAT